TCCAAAAACGAACGTATGGTATACCAAAGGTAAAAGTTTTAAGTATCATCTGAAAAGAATTATGGCATAAAATGTTCAAATACAGAATCACATAAAAGTGGCAAGAGCATTTGTACTTTAGTTGAGACCATACTAGCAAAATATGTCCTCAAGGTTCAGAGAACATCACAAATGGGCAGGAAGAAAGATTGTAAGAGCCAAAACTTAGTTAAGACTGTTAAAAAATAGTGTCTTTTGGATATGACTCAGTCATTGTCCTCATAAGCTCACCTATAGCTCTAATCACCTCCCTGAGACCTTCACAAGACTGGGCCCATCACCATTTCATCATGCATGGGGAAGAGACTCATGAAGCCCATTCTTCATTGAAAGTTTTTTAAGGCGTCTAAGTAAGAAGGGGGATTGGTGGAAAGAAGATTTCAACTGGGGAGAGACAGGATAAACAAGGATAATGGGGGGATGAAAATGCCCCAAGTCAGCATATACATATATGAAATCCTCAACTATCATACCCAGCCTTGAACCTTACGAACCCTATAAAACACAACCTGCCAGGAAACATATATGCCCACCTGTACAATAGTGGCATGACCCCTAGGGGAAACCAATGGCTCTCAGATTCACTTCAAGGTCAGCTTCACAGGAGGAAAGCCATAACTGCCACTGTAAGCCTCATCAATAATAATAGGAAGGTCATGGCCCAATGATGGAATTTACTACTGTTATTTAATTAAGTTGACATAGCACTAAACTGTCTTTCAATATTTATGTTTATGCATGTAGACAACAGATACTCTTAGCTTTAACCAAACAAAAAACAAAGAACAAAACCAAAACCAAAACTCTTTTTTTTTTTTGAGTGAACAAAGGAGAATATAGAGGGACTCATAGCTGTCCAGGATGCTAAATGATGACCTGGCCCTAAGAAAGACATTTATACTCTAAGGCTCTGGGACTACTACCAGAGAGGGGCTAAGGATAATGAAAGAGTTGAAAGATAAAGAATAGGGACTACAAAATGCTGTCTTTTGGACACGACATAAAAAAATAAATAAATGTGTAATCATGGACTCACAGCAACTGTCATTACTTTCACTGGGCCTTAATAAGACTGACTCGTCAATTATACATGAGGAGAAGACTCCTGCGTCCCTACCCGTTTCTCCTGAACTACTGGCTGTTGATAGACTCTGGGAGATTAAGAACCATTGTCTACAGTTGCACACCCACTGCTGAGCCCGGAATCACTCCAGTGGATATCTCTAAACATATGAGCCCTGGTTCAACTCAATGGGTCACAAAACAAAAGAAATATACAGGAATGTGGAAAAGAAATTTGCAGGAAAGAGCTGAGAGGAGTGGGAAGGAGTTATGAGAGGTGGAAGAGCAAATATAATTCTTATATTTCATATACATACAAAATTGAACAAATTTGAATAATAAAAAGAGAAAATAATGAAAAGACAATAGCATTCCTCTCTACCTCTCTATTTCCTTTCAATGGCTCCTTAGTAATTAGAGTTGTCTTGGTGTCTTTGCCATTTCTTTTCCCTTTTGAAATCAGTTTCTGCTAATTTCCTGAGCCACAGATTCTTTTATTAATTCTAACATCCACAACTTTTCACATTAGAATGGATGATGTAATGCAGTTTAAATAGCAAAATAGCAATCTCTTTTCTTAGGGGTGTATAAAGTGATCTTCCGGCTGTTGACCTGCTCAATTCAAAGTCCCGTGGTAATTGCTTTGGGCCTCCCATTTTGGACAGCTGCAGGATGCCCTTTGGAGACCAGGATGAAGTGACATGACCTACTGTGCTTTCTCCCTCCATTTTCCACCTGACCCAGACTAGCTGTCTCCCTGTTGGTGCAGATGAGGGAACCATAGCCTTCTCACGAAAAGCAGAAAGGGAACAGCAAGAGCTGTGGCAAGACCCTCGGCCCTTCTTACCCTAAGGCTTTACAGGCCCTGGGAGGGCTGGAAAAGCAACAACCTAGTAACCTTGTAAAACAGAGGGCCTCCCCATGTTCTGAGGGCTCTGGTTGCAAGCAGCAGACACCAAATCCAGTGGGATTTTCTAGAAGGAAATCTGGTGCTGACACCACCTCTGGTGGAATTTATTAGAAGGAAATCTGGTACTTATAGAATCAACAGGAGGCAGAAGGAACAGTCTATAAAGGGCCCATTGACCAAGAGAATCCAGACATGGGTCCTCTGCAACAATCCAGCCAGGCTCGCTGGTCATTAAAGCTGTAACGCCTTGATGCCCTGAATGTTTCCTCCTTGCCTTCTCCATTTTATCTCCCAGGGCCCAAAGAAAATGTGTGAGGTTAGAACATCTAATCTGTTTGCTGAGGTCTTGCCTTTATCCTGTCTCCCTTCTGGCTTCAAAGGAAGAAAGGACTGTCCCACTGTCTCCAATACAAAGTTGCTTAGGGCACTATCCTCTAGACAAGGGACTGTGATATTATATTGCCAATCTTCCACTAGACTCACTTTCCAATGTTCCAAGACTAGAAGAAGCTGGGTAAAGGCTGTGGCATGTTAAAATTGGCTGCCCTGGCCTTATCTGAATCAAGGATTAACGGAGGAAACTAACTCTTCTGGACTTCACATACAGGGGCAGTCCTGTGCTGGCCATGTCATGTGTGGTTGCTGTATAAACAACAGAATTTCTGAGTCCTTCAGAAAGTCTCCAGGAAGGAGGACAGTAGTTGACAAAGAGTTTTCTGACCAGAGTAATGAATGTGGCAACTGGAGGTGGCAGAAATAACTGGAGGGTGCTAAATAAAATCAGGTGTCTAAAAGATGCCATTGTATGAAGCGAGCCCCTAAGGTTGACAGGTATCTAACTTCTGGCCCTAGTTTTAATTTCTTGTGTGAATCTAGCTACAGGAAACCATACATGGGTGGTAAAGGCTTTTCCCCCATTTCAATCTCCAAGGAAATGTAACTGGGAATGAATGAGAGGCCCAAGTCATATATCAGTAGTCTGCAGAGGGTCTACCATAAATCCTTTTCTTTAAAGTTATTGAACTGTTTTGCAAATGGTCTCAACAGAAGTTATTCCAAGTGCACCAGAAAGGAAACCAGAGTCTTAAAGAAAAATATACTCTCTTTGCTGAGCAAGGCAAACATATCAGTATTCAGAGAAACAAACCAGCCTCTTGTGTTTTATTTCCTCAACAAATCCACTGAAATGCTTACTTTATGTCTTTAAAAGGCTGATAGACATGGAATTTTGTGGCTACTAAAAATTAATACTTATAAATGGTTCATAACCACTTTAAAAAGGCAGGCACTTTAAATTTCTTTCTCTGTTGTTTATAGTCCTTTATTGTGGCATTTTGCATATTGTAAACACAATACACATTTTTGTGCTTTTAAAAAATACAAATTGAACGCATACTCTCTGGGGAAGGGTTTTTCTCTATTGGAGGAATGAGAGTGGGACTTTCCTGAATACTTTTAAGCATAAACTAACACATTGTATCACAGCCCTTTTTATAGCCAAGCACCTCATAGAATAATATTTTTCCAATAAACTCTTAGGGACTTGCTATTAGGATAGGCTTTTTAACTCTTCTAGGGAGTCGTCTTTAAAATAAAAGCCTTTCTACCTGTGAAGAAGCTGGTACTACTTAAAGATGACGAATGCAGAGACATTAGATTCAATGCGCTCAGTTTTGAGAACAGGAAATGCGAGTGTGCAGTGGAGACAGCTCCCTGAAACTATGGGCTTTACCTATACTCAGTAGAGCTGGGAATAAATGGATCTGGACCTTGACCTCATGGTCCACTGGATGAGAAAAAAAAGTGGTGGCTATCATCTTACTTCCGTCAGCCTTTGCTCAACTCAATTCTCAATTCTCAAGAGTCAACTCTGTGTGGCCCTTTTCTGGTGGCCAATTTTGGTGGGGACACAGCCTTCCTAAACCAGAACACTGATTCCTGCTTTCCTTGATAATACACTTTCCCCATGCTTAGTAAAAGTCTGCATTGCTATGTCCTTAGCATCTGCTGTGATGGGCTTGGCAGTACAATGGAACTGGGGATTGTACACAAAGCTTGTAAATATTTAGTGAATGAATGTGTAGGGGGTAAGGGAAGGAGTGATTCTTTTAAACTCCACATGAACCAATGAAATCAACCATCTACTTGCATTACTAGAGTAAACGTAATACTGTATTCAAAATTGTGAGAACATCTTTCAGTACTTTTTTATCATTTTGTATTTGTGAGTTACATTTCCCTGTGACACCTTGTTCCCTAAATCTCCTCTGTTTCAGTAGTGATCCCAAGCACTCCTCTTAATGAGGCAGGTGGAGAGAGACCCACATTTACATAGAGCAGAAAGGGCACTTTAACATCTGGCCATGGAACTTGATTGGGCCCATTTGTTAGTGCTCATTAAATTCATATTAATGCATGAACTATTATGAATGTGTAAATGCCATTTGGTGTAGGTTGTTTTTTCCCAGACCGGTGGCATTGACTTTGGGGGTCTATCTCCTGGTTGTTTACTTGCTAATGGCATTTGACCTGGGGTTAGACTTGTGTTTAACCCTTTCCTGTAGGTCAAAAACAAATTGATTTGGCAAAAATGAAATTGGAAATGAGTCATCTGTGCAGCAGGTGTCCCTTGCTCAGAAAGACTTCCAGGTGGAAACATTTTCAGACCTGTTTTAGACCATCTCCAAGGAAGCTTCAGAGGTCAGGGAGGCAATTTCAAGACATCCCATGTGGTCAGGGTCTGGGCAGGAACGTAACAGGTGCCCAGTTGGTGCAGTTTTCCCATCAGGTTGGGAGCCTTTCAAAGAGGTCTGTTTGGAAGGTAATTTATTCATATATTCATGAACATTTCTCTGGCATTTTCTGTGAAGTGATTTACTTAGAAGTTGCCCTAAATGACTGGAACTTTGCCCTTTATACCTCCCACCATCAGCCAAAGACTTTGATTTAAAGATGAAAACTATTGCATTTCTCTCTTTCTTCTTTCTAGAGGATGAGGAAGATGAGGAGATGGTGGAACCCAAAATTGGTCATGATTCTGAACTGGAAAATCAAGACAAAAAGCAGGAGGCAAAGGAAGGTATGGTTCACATATACATTGAATTCTAATTTTGTTTTATTGTGTTTTCTTTTACCCAACTAAGATATGATAGAAGTAAATAAAGCTTACGCTCACATCTCTTTGTGTGTAAGGTTTTGTATAACCACTCAATGCATTGCATTTAAAAACATACACTGGAATTTCCAGAGCACAAATTGGTTGTGTTCTGGCTTACTCAAGCGAAGAAGGTGGAACCAACTTCAGTGCCAATCACAATGCCAGTTAAATGATTACTAAACATTTAGAGATAAAATAAGACAAACTATCAGTTGTCATGTTAGGCCATAAAAGATAATCACAAGGAAGAGGAGCAGATGTAATTATTTTATCAATTAGTTCTGAGGTTTTACATAAGCTCTACATGGAGACATTAACCACAATCATTACTGCTTTACTGTTCAAAGGGTTCTGCCACAGCTCTGCCCATATGAGGACAAATAACAGTCCACATATTACTACCACTGGGGATTTAGTTCAAGGGTAGAGCTCTTTTGCAGTAAGTGCAAGACCCTGGGTTCAGATCCCAGCACTGGAAGGGAAGACAAGATTAAAACTAGCATCAATTTAAGGCCTTACAATATACTTGCCTTGCCTCAAAGAAGTTGAAAAAAAAACACTGTCTACTATACAAAATGTCCTTGGTGGCATATACTATTATTATCTTTATTGTACTGGCAGAAGACTAAGAAGAGAAAGATTTAAAAACTGTCTCCAGATGTATAACTTACTTATAAGTGCAAGAGCCAAACAGAGGTTGAATCAGCCCCTGCATATGTTATACCACAATACCAACTTCATGACTTTCCTTTACAAATCTTTTTTTTTTCTTTTACTGTGTTAAGGCTCTCAATCCATTCAAGCAATGAAATTTTTGAATTGTCATCCTTACTGAAAAAGTTGGCAAGTGGTCTCTGCAGAACCGAGTACAGGTTTTAAAAGATTCCTCTCAACATCCACTTAGTCTTCTCAAGTACAGATAGATCAACATACGTCTAATGAGTGTCCCAGTTAATATTTCCATTTTAAAAATGGCCATGACTCTGGCTTGGAGTGTGGCAAGTGCTTGATTGGAGAGTTCTGTAGGAATGTATGTCATGAGCCTATGTGCTCGCTACAGTTGCTTGTATTCTCATGAGAAAAAAAAATTCATTTTGTCTAAGTAGCTGTATAGATTGCATCTACACATGCTTAGAGGTTTGGAGAGATAAAATGTGGAGACACTTCTTAACTTTAAAAAATTGTCTTCTGAGGCTGGAGAGACAACTCGGTAGTTAAGAGCATTTGTTGCTCTTCTGGAGGACTAGAGCTGAGCTCTTGGCACCCACACAGCAGCTCACAGTTACAGTTTAGCCACAGCGGATCCCAGAGCCTTCTTCTGGCCTCTGTGGGCACCAGACACACAAGCAATGCACAGACATACATGCAAGCGAAACACCCATACATATAAAATAAACATTTTCTAAATCTACAAAAAAAAATTAAAAATAAAAATTGTCTCTGGCTAAGGCACATTTGAGTTTTTATGTGTGTTTAATTTTGTCTCGATTGTATTTATGCAAATTCAGTTATAGAAAAAGCACTATAAAGCAGTGAGACAAAAGAAAGTGTTCTACATCTCAGGGTGCTTGGATCAAATCTTGGCTCTGCCGCATATTAGCTGCACGATCAATAATGCCTAACTTGCTTGACTTACCTTCTTTTGGCTCCTGTTTCCTCATCTGGCAAGCAGAGATAATACCTACCTCCTGAGTTTGTTTTTTTAATGTAAGACTCAAAAGGGCTAGTATGGAACAACTTGGCACAAAATAAGCGCTGTATAAGAGTTTGCCAAATTATTATTAGTGGTCTTGCCTTACAGTACCAGGTCTGTAACTGTGCCTTACCATGATGTGACGGCCTTGTGTGCCCGGTTCCCTGCCCTCAGTTTTGCCATATTGCATAGCTTTGAAATCAAAAGATGCAAACAGTTTTCTTCTGTCTTTGAAGGACCATCGGTAAGGCGATTACCATGCCTAGTTTCATGCATCTAGGAGGTCAGTTTCCAGGAGTGACTGAGAACAGGAGAAAGATTCAGCATCTTAACGCTTGCATCCGCAGAAGCCATTGAGTTTACTTTTTTTCTGAGAAACTCTAAACAGATTCAATGGGAGTGATTTCACATTTAAATTTCTACTAAAAACATCTTTTAAAAAATCCAGTGAAGTAAATGCCATTATCATGGGTACAGCCGAGGACAAAATAAGCCAGGATCTATTGAAATCCATTCTGTTTTCTTTGCAAAACTTCTTAAAACATGCCCAGTGATAGACAACCACTGAGTTCTTGTAGGCCTTGGCAGGGATTCCTCACTGCCACCCCGCCCCCAACCCCAATCTCCAAACCCTCTTCCTGGCAAAGCCCAGCACCTCCTTCTTAAGTTCCAAGCAAAAACACTCTTCAGTTTTAACTGGTCCCCGTGCTTTATGGAATTGATTAAAGCCATACTAAAAGTCAAAAAGAAGTTTGAGAGAACATTTCCTGTTACTGCAGCACCGAGTGCCTCGTTCTCCATTAATGGCGTTTCTGCAAATTAGCACATAATGGGTTAAAAGCATGTTTATTTTGGCATCAAGCTATCTGGCCTCTTCTTTTTTTTTTTTTTTTTTTTAAGCAAGACAGTATTTTGCGAAGTTTAGAAAAAACTCTCTAGCAGATCTAATTGCGGCGCGCCATTCACAGGACTGTCGATAGGGCTGTGTCAGCACTTTATCAGGAACCCTGCCTTTAGGGGACTTAGTACTCAGCCATAAAAATGTGCTCTGGGCTAAAACTTGACATACACAGTTTCAAATGAGGAAACATTTTTAAAGGAAATCTGTCTTCTTTTTCTCTTTCTTTTCTTCTCCTCCTCTTCCTTGTCCTCCTCCTTCTTCTTCATGGTGAAAAATACTGTAAGAAATGGAAAAAATCCAATATGCACTAGTTGTTTTTTTTTTTTTTTTACACATTTCTCCAACTGACACCAAAATGCAAAATGCATTGAGCATTAAAAAAAACAAACACAGTTTTGATATACTATTTTGGTACATACACCTTATTCCACAAAGAGTTATTTCAGGTAACTTTTAACTTTCATCAAAACTTTGGAACTCTCCATATGTCAGTGTCAAATTAAGAGATTCAGAGTAAGCCAAGCACGGTGGCACATGCCTGTGATCCCAGCACTCAGGGAGGCAGAGGCAAGCAGATCACTGTGAGTTCAAGGGCAGCCCTGTCTACAAAGCAAGTCCAGGACAGCCAAGACTACACAGAAAAACCCTGTTGAGAGAAGCCAGAGACAGAGAGACAGATTCAGAGAGAGTATTGGACTCCTCACTCCTGTAAATTCAAAGAAAACCAAAGCTTCACATTAACTTCAGAGATGAATGTCTGCCGATGTTAGGTTCACTTGGTTCCCTGCTGCTGTTCGTGAACTGATTGTACTGTAAAATTTCCTTTAGGGCCATTGTCCCAATTCCATCTGATTTTTTCCCTGGCTGCATGGGTTACTTATTTTTATCTTTTAGATAGTCTTGCAAAATATCATTTAAACACCATCCTTTTATATTTTCATATAATGCTGGATTGTGAAAACAAGGCAAGCCATTTATAAAGTGGGTTATTTTACAAATAAATCTTGACTTAAAATGAGATTAAGGCGCTGGGAAGGTGGGCTTAGTCAATAAATTACCTGCAAGGCAAACTTGACCTGAGTTTGGGTTCCCAGCACCCACGTGAAAAGCAGCAGCGTTTGCCAAAAATTACAGCACTGGAGAGGCAAAGACAGAGCCAGGACTGGTAGAGAACTGATGAGGTTGAGATTTCCTGATACAAAAATGGGAAAGCGATTAAGAAAGACACTTGACATTGACTTCTGGCCTACATACAAACACGCACGCATACACACACACACACACACACACTCACACACACACTCACAACACCTACATATATAAGCACACACAAATGAAATTAAGAATATTCAGTATAAGTTGTGAGCTCCATTATATACATTTTGTTTTTGTGGAAGCAAATATTTGAAGAACTCTAGAAATGAGAAATAGAGGATACAATAAATACGACTAATTAAAAAGAAGCTAAGTACATATTCATAAGAAAGGTCAAGAAAACACAGCCAATATGATAGATTCACCATCAAGGGTGCACAAAAAAAAAAAAGGTACTTCATACATAAGACGAAGATAAATTAACATTTATATAAATTAACATTCATATAATTAAATAATAAAAAGGAGATTGAATAAAATTTGTACTGGACTTCAGTTTTGCAGGTCACAAACATATAATTTCTAAATTTTTATTTCAAGTTTTTAAAATTTCATGAATCTGATACATCTCTTTCATACATGCTATTCAGGCTAAATATGACTGGGAAATTTTTGAAATTATCTTGTTCTTTGTGCACTCTGTAAATCGTATCTATGTCGTCTACTTCTCACACAGGTTCTTCCTTTAAAGGGATACTTCAAGTGCAGAGAGCATTGTTAGCTGTCAGCTCCTGAAAGGAATTCCCCATCTTTTGTATTATGAAGCCCAATAAAATATTAACTACTCCATATCCATGTTTTCCTCTGATGTGGCCTTTAATGATAAATTAATTGTACCTGTTTGCATCTACCTTAACATATTTTAATATGCATATGCAGGTATATTATATTGAGAGATATATAATTCATTGGTTTTAAGGGACAGGTAAAAGCTGCAGAAAGGTAGTGCAAGAAGAAGTTGGAAGTGCATCTGGGACAAGGATACTGCTAATCATATATATTTTTCTTAAATCTCAGTATTTGATGAGGAGGGGATTCCATTAACTAACAATTTGTTTTTCTGTCCGAGAGGTTTTACTTCTCAGAGTGTCTATTGACTTTAGGTCCTGGGTACACCATTATGTTCTCAATATATTGTAACAACACTAACCAATGTAAATATTTTTTAAGCAACAGGAGATTGGTTTTAATGAAAACTAGCCATGATTTTTATTTAACTTGTACGTTGGCTGTTGTTTGTGACTTTTTGAAAGTGCTCATCTACACATGCATGTTATTGTTTTGTGCAAACAAAATCATGTCATTTGATCCCTGTTAGACATCAAAGCTTAATAGAAAGTGTATCCTTTGTTTTGGTTCAGTAGCAATTTGATTTCAGGCCAAATATTGTATTGTTAAGAGTAATGTCCTGAGAGGCAGCTGTTCTGCCTACCTGGACTCAAGCCTCTGCAAGGTCACTTTGATCAGCCACTTATGTTTCTCCCAGAGAAGAGGTTGTATGTCTTGAAAGCCGAGATCAAAGTGACAATAAGCTGTAGGGAAGAAAAAAACTATGGAAAATTACACAGATACTATTTTTTTATTCAAGGTAATAGACTTGTAAGAAGAGATACGGGGTGAAATAGATGTGGTTCAAAAAGATAAACAGAGAGTAGAATTTCTTGATTTTTCTCATATTGGGAGGAAAAAGCCCAAGGGTGAAGAGAGAAAATTCTTTGCTACTTTGCTTAGTCCCAAGCATATCTTAAGTCATCTATGAACAGTGACCAAGGCTGAATCTTTTTAAAAGACATTCTGCTTGGCCCATACCAGCCTAGTTTGGTGAGGTTAATTGATTTGTTAACTGTATTAACCCAACAAATGGGACTTAACACTTTATAGATTTGCTGTTTGTTTCACCTGGTTGCATTTAGTAGCTTTAATGTACTCATCAAAGAGATAATTCAAGCTTCACAAGGAAGCTGAGAAAATACACTAAGAAATTTCTTCTTGATCACTTATTGTTGAATGCTTATTTTTTGGGGGGGTGTACATTTATGATTTTTAAACTGCACTGCTGCTCAGAGTTTAAGCTAAAATTAATAAATAAGAGTGAGAGCTAATAAATGGCTGGTAAAATGGTGGTTTTGTAGCATCCTCCTCATTATTAACGACCTCTACCAAATCCCATGCTGAATTCTGAATCTAGATGTCACCAGCTTCATCATGTGACAGACGGGCCTCTGGGCAAGACTACACAGTAGAGCTTGATGGGAATTTTCGAAAGTCCCAATACACCCAGCAGTGTTAGGGTTCTGGCACCTTAGACATCAAAGAGCTTTTTGGAATTCTGTTTGGGGCGGCCAGAAATGATGAGTGGATTATGTTTGCAGATCTTTTGCTGTAGTTGATGAATCACATTTTTTTTTGCCATATTGTTTCTGACATGTGAATCAAATATGTCAGAATCATTCTCATTTTGTTTTTATTATGAGTAGAGTCGTGAGTATTTTCAAACTCCCAGTGTCATGTTCTGAGGCAAGGAAGGGGAAAGCCCAAAGGGAAGAGAGAGCTCTTCTGTGATAGCTCTACAGAAGGGCTTCTTCTAGGACAAGGGTCTTAAAATATAAATCAAACCCAATAAAATGTATATAAAATAGCAGCTGACTGTACCTACTAGATTCCTATGATCATGTGTTGAGGGAGAACCTGGGCCTGATTGTGGAGATGATCTTGGAAGTCTTGTGAAGCCCTGAGGAAAATGAGGTCATTAAGGACACTAAGTGTGATTTTAATTGATGAGTCTCCATGTGTAAGCTAAATATCAGATGTTTTCTAAAAGAGTGGTGGGTGGCTCAACTCTTCCCTAACTGTCTGCTCAGGGGGCCTTCCAGAGACCATAAATGTTCAACTGAAAATTTCTGCCCTCAGGCCTTCTCCAGTCTGGGAGAGTTCCTAATCTCTTCCCTGGAGTTTTATGCAAAAAGGGTTGCTGAAGGAATTGCTTATAGAACCATAAAGCCAGCTGCAGACCCTGAGCTGAGCTGACTTGCAAGCACCATGGAATGCTGACAGTTATTTCAGCTCCCCATCTCATATTGTACCTTCAAATGTAACCAGACAGAACTAAAATAAAATGAAATGACTACTCTACGTTATAGCCGCAACTGTGGGATGTGTCAGAGAGGCTCCGTGTGAATGTGGATCAGAAAGGACGTAGCTTCCTTAACAATGTCAGTTTCCCAGCTAGCCATCCCAAGTCACAGGGAATTACCTGGTGGAGGGCAGAGAACACGCCGGTACCATGTCACAGATAGACCCTAATTAGTACAATTTTATTAATGTGTTTTTCTGCTCTATTTGAGGTTCTTTTTCCAGTTCATTTTGAAAGCAAAGAAATTCAGAACTGATAACGTAAAAACATGCCATTCTACTTTCATTTATAGCAAGTTTTAGTTCTTCGAAACAACAAGTAGATGAGATATGAAATCTTTAAGGGGGAATAGCTACAAATGCCTTTGGCATGAGTTTGAGAACAATTTATAGTCCTAACTAATAATGGTTTGCTTTCCTGTATATTATCTCTCCCTGGATAAGCGATAAGCAAGCCCTTTCAAGAGCAGGGTTTCTCTGGAACAGATTTAAATTGTCCCTTTTCCTTCCCTAACAATCTCTCTTGCATAAAAAGCCCCTCCAAGAGAGCTGACAGAGGAAGAAAAGCAGCAGATCCTACACTCGGAGGAATTCCTCATCTTCTTTGACCGGACGATCCGAGTGATTGAAAGAGCGCTAGCTGAGGATTCCGACATCTTTTTTGACTACAGTGGTCGAGAGTTGGAGGAGAAAGATGGGTTCGTTGCTTACATACTTTCTGAAAAACATAGTGTGATAAAGCGTTGCTTCTATTATCTTTGTGTCTTTTTATGACGTGGGAGTCTCTCTATGCTGTCCAAGCTGGTCCTGTACTGGGCTCCAGGGATCTTCCAGGACCTTCCAGCCTCTCCAGATGCCAACCCAGCTTTACTCGATTTTTAAATAAATTGATGTGTAGACTAAGCAAATCCCAAGTCTAGCAAAGGGGAGGAGGATGAAATTCCAGGACCGATCTTCCCGAACAGCTTTGGCTGTGGGCTTTGGTTATAACTTCTGGCTTAGGGTCTCCCTGTAATTATCCTGTGCCCCTGTGAAATTCTTTTGAACTTGATGTCTGGAGCCCAGGCCAGGTGATAGAGACGAGCAGAGTCACGCACACATTGTCCTCTGAGAAAACATTTTTCTGTGCAGCTGGAGGAGATTTGTAGTAGACCTTCCAGACTGCTTCTTGCTAGCTGAGCAAACAGGAAAGTGGGGAAAATAAACATGAGCTGTATAGGGTAACAACAGAGGTGAGAAACAGTCTGGAAGGTTCATCTTCTTTTTGGTCCTCTAAGATTGGAAAAACATACGGCAAAGAGATACAGATAACACAAGCCAAGAACTAGCCAAAGAAATGGGGGTGGGGTTCCACATGACTTTCCCTGTGACTGTGGTGTGTGTTAGAAAGGGCAGCAGCTGCCAGCCATCACCATGGGGTACTAGGAGACACCTTGTAAGACTCGTAAGAAACAGATAACACTGGATTCTCGCAGCAGATTTCTTTTGTCTGGGAACAGTATGTGAAGGTGAGGTCACTTGCCTTTTGCATCAGATCCATTTGTGATTATTACTTCTAAAATTCCAATGCATTCTTAAAGGACAAAGTGATATCAACATTGAGGATTCTGAAAAGAATATCCTAGAGGCATGGCAAATAATTTCGGGGTGGGGGGGATTCTGAAAGCATGCTCAACAGTTGGCATTGTTAAACTGTACAGAAGAAAGAAACAGCCGGAGTTTGCACTCTCTACCCATGTGCGTTTTCTCTTAAAAAGCCATTTCTAGTGGCTCCGTTGATTTTAAATGTCTCCCACTCCTGTCTGAGTATATGGCCCAGTACCATACTACTTCTCTAGCAGGACTGAATCACACACACCTCTCACCTGTGGAGCTGGTGGAGCTGCCTTAGGATTAGTGTGGGTGTAAGTGCCAAGGGGAGGAGAGGGAACTCACACTATGTCAACTGACCAGAACTTAGAGGGACATTCTCTGAAGCCAGGCTACTTATTCTGAACAAAAGCTACGGAGCTGAGTGGCATAGTGGAATGAAGTGAACCAAGGAAGGGTGACTGTAGACAAAATCCTGAACTGAACAGAACTGAAGAGGTTTAGGCAGAGCCTTTTGCGGATCCAGTAGCTACTGGCACAGCACAGGCATTCCTCAATCTAAGCACACAGGCCCTCGAAGGAACTGTATGACCAGCGTTCTTTGAAGGTGGTACCAAGGCCAATTGAACATTAGCCTAATAGACACTGGCCAAATGGCAATTATTCCTCTGAGACCAAATACTCCTTTGGTCCATGACTGACATGCTTGATGTCTGGAACACTCTTGTGATGCCCCAAGCTCTTCACCATACCTGTCTGATGTCAGAAATTATCACCTATGGCTACTCAAGGAGACAAATCCTAGAGCCAATCACAATTCACAGATAGGAACTTGTATACCATTTTGGGTCTAGTAGCATAGAAGATGATATTGATATCAAATAATGCCCTTTATTTTTGTGTTCCTATGATAGCAGAAAGGTTTAGATTTTTTAATTTAACCTTAGTGTGTGTATGAGTGTGGTCCTTAAGTGAAGGTGAGAGGACAACACTTGGGAGTCAGTTTCTTTTTCTACCAGAGGATAATGGAACTGAACTTGGGATAATAGGCCCATACATGTATTTTTATCTGCTGAGCCCTCTTGCTGGCTGAGGGAATTTTTTAATAACCCTGCTTTAGGCTAGAGCCAATTAGAGGGAAGAAAATATTTCAAAACTCACTAAGAGAAGAACCTGAAACAGACTTGACATTTCCCACCAGGCTCAGAACAAATGCAGAATGCTTTTCTGATTCGGTAGAAAGCTTTTCATAAAGAAGAATATCTAACACGTTTTCTCATAATCATGTGCCACTGTCTAGACTCCACTCTGTTGTGAAACGTCCCTTTTACCTCTGCTGTTTCACTCTTCTTAGGGATGTTCAGGCCGGATCCAACCTTTCTTTCAGTCGTCAGTTCTATGATGAGCATTGGTCCAAGCATCGAGTGGTCACTTGCATGGACTGGTCTCTCCAGGTAAGACTTAGTGTTGATAGGACAAACGACTTGCAGTTTTATGACATTTGTGTATTTAAAAAATACATATTTGTTCTTCTATTTTGGATATATTTACTAATCTATGACTCTCTCCTTTCTGCCCATTGGTTTTTGCTCACATTATTTTTTTCAGAACTTTTGGGGCTTCATGCTCCATTCAGATATTTGTAATTATCAATTAGTATGTTCTCGGTAACAAATAAGCAGCCAGGCCATTCTGTGCAAGAAACCTTTCTAAATGTAGCCATCATTAGTTTCCTACTGATCAACTTGATGAACAGACAGTCCAGCCAGTTGACTGTACAATCACGATGCCCAGCGCTGAGCAGTGAAGCAATGTGTAAATGCACACAGCTTAGTTGTGGTGAAGTAAGAATTTGAATGCGGGTGGTCTGAAGTCTGACCCACGCCCTGACTTACATGCCAAGCACTACACCAACTGCCTTGAAAGCATGATCTTATTTTATCCTCAAGAGAATTATACAAGGCAGTCACTGTCAGTATTTGCATGGTATGGTTGAAGAAACTGAGGTGCAATAGGCGCTAAGTAACTTGCTAAGCACCACTCAGTAAGGGTACAGTAGAGCCGAACACAAGCCCTGAAATGTAGGTTTTAGCTGCGAGCTTGAAAGTGCTGAGTGATCCAGACAGACAGCAAGCACGGTAAGAGTTCAGTATAAGTGGGGATCCCTCTCTGGTCAGGCAAGGCGGACCAAATCACAGCTAAGAAGACTGTTATTTGGGCAAAGCAGGGGGAGGTGATGCAGGCAGATAAGCAAAACAGATGTAAGAAGAGTCTCATTTATTCCCGTTGGGAATTGGAGAGTCTGATCCCCACAATTGTACTGTCAGCAGCCACCAAGCGGGTGGAGTTTCTCTGCTCTTGCATCCTCTCTGACGTCCAAACATCAGAGCACAGAGAGTATGATTGTACAAAGACTAAGACAGTCGAGCTTGGCCAGTCTCTCTGCAGTGTGTGGGTGGTCTGGGAGCGTGCCCTGGTGTGAAGAGAAATCAGATACAAGCCTTAGGGAGCACTTAACTTGGAGTGTTCACTTATTCACGGTCTGGAAATCACACAGGAACTTTATCTGACACGTACCTAACCAAGGCAAATGTTAGTGGTTCCCAAATCAGCAACTAAACTAACACTCCCTGAAGAGAGTGCTGGGCTAGCAGCAGTGCGGCTGGTCCACCAAGCCTCGGTGTGTGGTTGCATGGGTTTGTTTCCACACAAGGTCCTTTCCACGTGCCATTTGTGTCAAAGGAGGTGAAACTGGAAAACACAGAAACTCCTCCCAGGAAAGGTCTCTCTCTCTCTCTCTCTCCTTCCCTCCCTCCCTCCATCTCTCCCTCCCACCCTCCCTCACTCTGTCCCTCCTTCCTTTCTACACTGTGGTAAGGGATTTGAAATTGTAAGACATTCATCTCATAGGTTTTTTTTTTTTTTTTTTTTAAATAGAATCCCTAATTCTTTTGTCATAATAGTTTTATGGGTTCAAAGAACCAAATTTCAATTCTTCTGCGATGAAGAGATTTTCCTGAATTGATGAAGACACACTGGGTGATAGCCAGACAAAAGAGCAGGGTGTGGCACAGGTTCAGGGTGTAATGGCAGCAGATATGCCTTGGAGAGTTTCTTGTGTGAAACAGAATGGAACTGCAAGGAGAAACGTGAGAGATAATTCTGTTTTATATCCTGAGCTCCTTGGACATAACATTCTAACTTCACAATACTTGCAAAATATCATATAAACACTACTCCCATAAAGAAATCTGGGCACCCAGCACTCTGGCAATTGTGCTGTCTATTCAACAATGTTTAGCACAAGAATATCGTCCACAACCCATGTGTCAGGTTGTCTAGATGCATATAAAATCAGACTTTTACCTTCCTCGAATGGTATGTACCCCTCTCCTATGTAAAAGACGTCTCCTTTAGTCCTCTAGTCTCATAAGACCTGAATAATCCTCAAAAACCTTGTTGAACTAGGAATTCAGTCAAATTTAGAGATGCAAGAGAGCCCCTACTGGAACTAATTCAAAGCCATTATCACTTTGAAGTTGACAGGCACTTCATACCCCATTCTCCTTCTTGCCTAGCTCAGAAAACAGAATCCTTGCCAGCCTCTCTACATCTAGGTTCTACATATAGAATTATTATAAGCACTTTATCATTTTTGTAAAGATTGCTTATATATTTTTAGTAAACAATTTATTTTTTATATTATCTCCCTCTTCCCTTTCCTCCTTCCTACAACTCCCATGTGTCCCTCTAACTTGTTCCCTCTCAGATTCCCCTTTTTTATCATTATTACATATATACATATATATGTTTACATGTATACATATGTATAGAACCTGCTGAGCCTGTTTAGTGTTGTTTATATTCATATGCTTTTGGGGATGTCCATTTAGAATTGGATAACCAATTAGGGGCCTCATTCCTGGGGACAGATAATTTTCCCTCTCTCACCAGTTCTTAGTTGCTTACAGTTTTTTGTCTCAGGGTGAGTCCCTATGCGATTTCCTCCTTCCATAATAGCATGTCTATTGGTGTTACTGTTCAGTTGTCTCCCTGAAATAACCACCTCTGCTAAGGGTGTCTTTTTTCCATCTCCACACTCACCACATGCCCGATCTTCTACAGAACCTCCCTCTTGGCACACAGTGTTCTGCTGCAGTGTTTGAGCTGAGGTTATTCCTATATATGTCTTGTTTCCCACTAGCCAATGGTGAACTCCCACAGAACAGAATATGTTAGTGTGAATGTTTCTTGTCCCATGATGTACTTGATGCCATATTTTATATATGCATTAGGCACACTGCCACAGTGGACAGACAGGAATATAACTCTTCGAGCCCAGCTGGCTTCCATAGGATTCCCACTTGGTCATTCATGAACAATATGACTTGAATGTGTCACTTACCTCAGGCCTCATCATTTTTGCCTGCACAAATGAGTAAACCTTTATCTTCTTTATTCAGTCACAAATAACGAGTGAGCTAAAACATTTCCCTGTCCCTGGTCTGGAACATAAGGGCCACTTAAAGCATGCTGGCTCTTTCTTCTCAAGGAAATATTAAATTCTGTTTCTCCTGAAGATTTGTACTTGAGAGCAAAGCTAGTAATTTTGGGGTAAATTTTCTCTGAGTTAAATATAAGGTAATCTAGTCCTTATGAGTAATTAAATGACCAGAAATTTCACAATTGTTCAAAAGTATAATTTTAAACTTTTAAATTTCCATAATAGCTTAAAAACTTGATAATGAGTATATATGACTAGCCATGCTCAGACAAATAGGTTTTTTTAAAACAAGTACATGAAGACACTTTGAAATCTAACAGTCTATATTAGTTAAGATGTAGGTCAGTCCCTTCTACACCTTGTAACTCCTGTTATAGAAGACTTTGCCAAGGGCATTTTCCCGGTGTTTTCACTAACACACTGCCTGTTTGCCGAAGAAACTTAAAAGCCAAACAAGTTAAAATATTTCTAGATGGGAAAAAAAAAAGGGAAGCTGCAAGTGGGTGTGAACGATGAGACCCAGATGTGAAGCTGTGGGATGCTATTCCAGACACATCTGGCTGCTCTCTGGCCCCTGCGGTAGTGGTGTCAGTGTTTATAGACTTGCCTTTCCACATGTGACATAGTTAAACTTCAGATGGACAGTCTGGAGACTTCCGTGTTTATCTGGATGCTAGTTTCATTGAATGGGTTCTGAATCAAAGGCCTTGCTTAATAGCTTTTGATTCATCTGCTAAGGAGCATTTTCTAATAAAGAATGATGACTTCCCTTGGTGGCCACATCCATGTGTGTTGCCGTATACCTACACCTCCTCTGTAGCAAACGCTGAGCTGTAGTTCTTTGTAGTTGAAAGAATGAATAAAACCACATTGGAGACTTAGATTTAGTTATGGTTCATATGAAGGAAAAGTTGAAGTTCATATTTATGTAAGTATTGTTTAATTTGAATATATGCATAGTATAGTGAACCAAAAGAGACAACTAGATTTTATGTTAGGAGAGATTCATATGAGCTTTAATAATTTTGGTGTGTTACCAGAGCCATTCATGAGAAGCCCAGGTAAAAATGGCATTTGTGTGGAATGTGTTCTAACTTAGAAATTGCTCATTATTATACTCATCCTCAATTTAATCACATCCAGGACAGAGTTCATGTAGGGTGAGAAGGTATTTTCAACATCTCTTTAAAGCCTCCCTTGTTATTGTATGATTATGCTTCTTACACTTAAGCATTTAATTATTGTGGTGTTTGATAGCAAAGAAATTAATATTTACACTGATCACACAGTTACTTAGGTAAAAGAGAGTTTCTAAAATAAAAATTATAAGTTACACAATAGATTTTTTACCTTAACACATAAGATGCTGGGATTTATTAAACTATGGGTTCAGAAATAAAACAACAACAATAACAACAAAAACACTCTAGTCCTAATACTCAAGGACCCTGTGATTTAAGGAAAGACACAGTGAGAAAGGAACATAGTTCAGCTGGACAAATGTCTTAATAGGGACATAAAAACAAAAGGGTACTAAGAGGAAAGGGAAAGATAAATGGTTAGGATTATCTAGAGGGCTTAGTTGCTTCATTCGATCTCAGATGTGACTTAATGAGGTAAATAACACAGAGGGGCTTTCAGTGAGCATGCAGTCAGAATCACAGGTGCAGAGGTACCTGTGTGTTTCCTGGTTAGCTGGTATGTCCGGGTACAGTGTTTAGGGATGGATGAAAAGGCCATAAGATATTAAACAGAAGCAATAGAGAAAGGCCGACCAGAAAGGATTCTACATGAGTTGGCTTTTCCCTTGAATGCCATAATGAACCATTAATTGTCAAGCTGAAGGTAACTTACCAAATACAGACTTTACGAGTTCATCCTGACAAAGGCTGGAGTATGGAGCAGTTGGTCATAGGCTGTGAAAAGCCTGAGAACAGGCAGCTACCTTCATCAGACAAGAAGTTAATTTATGTGTCTCTGCCCTTAAGAATGAAAACAAAATGTAGATTCAAAATGAATGTAGTACTTAGTGATAGACAGCATGTGGGGAGGAAAGAAAGGAACAAGTTAAGATGAAAACAGAAAATCTGGTTCAACCAGGTAGGTGAGTACCAGGTATAAAGCACAGACTCAGGAGAACAGTGAGCTTTGTGGAAAAGCCTATCAGCATATTTTCTATGTGTTCCTTCTGCTACTGATAAGTTTTTGGACATCCTGAGCAAACCCCCAGTAGGCTGTCGAATATTCATACCTGAAGCTCTAAGAAATATCAAGCCTAGAGAGAATTTTGAAAGTTTTCAACATATTAAGCCTATAAAAGTCATCAGGATCTGCAGAATAACCTGGGAAGAAGGGAAAAATAAGAAATTGTCTGGGAATTATGTAATAAAAGGAGAATCTGCATGGGTTTTACAAAGCAGCAAAGAAAATCAGAACAGAAAGTTGTCATGGAAACCAATACAAAAGAAAGAAGAGGGTAGCCCAAAGTGATTGATTCTATAGGATTTGAGCATGTTCCCAAGTTTGGTGACCATGCACACACACTCAAATATGAGAGACAGAAAGCAGGGTCTGTTGATTTGTTATTAAATGTGCCAAAATTTTAAAAGATAGGACCACTTGAAATATGTTGCACAGCACAATGCTGTAGGATGAGAAAATTCTTACGAGCCGGTTGTGGTGGTGGCACAATGATAGAATATATCGATGACATGGATGCAGTAGGAACACGAGAAGTTTCCTATGCTATCACCATAACGAAGTGAATGTTTGTAACCTCTTTCATTTAGTACCCCGAGCTGATGGTTGCTTCTTACAACAACAATGAAGATGCTCCCCATGAGCCAGATGGCGTGGCCCTGGTTTGGAACATGAAGTTCAAGAAAACCACACCAGAATATGTTTTCCACTGCCAGGTAGGCGTCAGCAGAGTCAAAATAATTCCTATCGCTTACCAGACCGAACATAGCTCAAGCTGCACTGCATCTGTGTTGGGTTGGGAAGAAGAGCTGAGTTTAAAAATGGAATTGTTGACAATTTTGGAAAATTCCCCCACAGTAACCTAATGTTTTGGGAAAGTGGCAGCCCTCCTCAAATGGTTAGGAAACCTGGTTGGGGACTGTGTGTCATTTTCTTTCTATTTAAAACAGCCCCCATGAGGATGAGTTTATAAAGACCTCGCACTTATAAAGAAACTGTGGTGCGCCACTTCCTCTGCCCAGAAGCAGCATATGCCTGCCCACCCATGTGGCCGCCCTCAAAGCATTCCCAGCCGAGTTCCCTCCTGTCTCTGAAACACACTTCAATGCCTGTTGCCTTTTCTAAGTCTGTAGTGCCCTACTGTTTTGGAGATAATGATACTTTCAGAGCTGAAAGATTCGAGGAAGGTTTACCACGAACGCTACCTGAGTTGCTGAGAAAGGTAGACACTGTTTCTACTTTCTAGATGCAGATTCTGTCGGAGAGTTGGGGTGTTTTACTCCTTGTGTCTAATGGCACGTGTCTTCTCTCCCACTGGACACACTGGGATGGAAATGAGGCTACACTTGCATCTGTTCTGCTTTGCTCCATCACCATGGCTTTGCCCAAATGACAGGCCTTAGCACTGGCCAGTGTACCAACCCCTTGATTAATGAGATTATGGTCAGGAAACTAGAAAGCAAACATCCTACCTCAAAAGTTTAGTTCCTCAAATATTAGAATTCAGAGGCAGCAAGAACTACTCTACACCCATGCCTCTGAAGAGGCTGGGAGGCAAATCTACTTGCCTCATCCTAGGAAGCTTTGTGTCATTTTATATCTGAGACCTGGGTATCTTTTTGAACTGAAATATGTTTACACTTTAGAGCATTATCAGATATAATTTGAGGAACAGGGGCTGCTGGAATAAAAGGCCCAGCTTCAACGTGATTGAGTAACTCTCTAACTCTGGCCATGTTTTTCTAATTTGCTATCTCACAAACGACTTAACAAGAAGTCTAGGCCTGCATAGTAAATAACTCTTATTTTTTGAACCTTTGAAATAAGAACAGGTTTTTTTTCTTTTCTTTTTTTCTTTCTTTTTTTTTTTTTTTTTTTTTTTGTTAACATTATCAAGTTTGTCAGCCTGGTAGGTTCTTTTTGTAAACATAGAAGCACAAAATTCTAATTCTGTTCAGTTTTAAGGGGTTTGCTGAGTTGCCAGGAAAATACTATAAGGATTATGGAGTAAAGAGAAGCACATTTTGAAAGCCAGGGCCTTTTAAACTGTTTTGATATACAGAAAGCCTATCTTTAGTTTTAAAGCTCCAAGAAGTAGTCCATGCTGTTTCAGTAAATGTTTATGATGTTTATCATAACTTAAGGCTTTCTAATTATATTAACTGAGTACTGGCGGCCTCTGGCAATATGGGTAATATGGTTAATATACACAATATTATATAGTAAACAAGCCAATGGGATCATGATAACAGATTTTTTAAAAGTCTTTGAAATTATCAGAATTTTTTAAAAATTATTTGCTTTATCATGTCACCAAGCTATTATGAGTATTGACAGGTATTATTTCTTCTCATGGTAGCTTGGTATTATTTACTAAAGGCGTCAATGATTACTGAGCTTTACTTTTGGTTTCTCATTTAGAGATCATCTAATTTAGGTGATATGTGTAATTTAGAAGAGAATATGATCCTGATTTTATTTCATTTTTTTAAAGTCCAGAAGTATGTGAATAAACAAGATAAAGTCACATAAGAGTTACCGAAAGATGTTGAATAAAATTTCTTCATCTTGGTGCTGCAGAGTTGGCTCAGAGGTTAAGAACATTGGGTAGTCTTGAAAAGGACCCTGGTTCAATTCCAGGCACCCACATTGAGACTCACCACTTCCTTTGGCACCAGGTATCCACGTGGAGCATACATGTGAGCAAAGCATTCATATGCACAAAATAAGATAAATCTAACAATAAATAAATAAAAGTTAGTGGATTTATATATATATATATATATATATATATATATATTCATCTACCAAATTACCAGAAGCAAAAAAGGCCATTTTAAGCTCTAGCTGCTATCCTTGCTGGGGAATTTGATCATCATGCTCACACTGAAGACCATAAGGTTTTAGAGTCAAAACCTTAGATATCAAGTCAAAGCTATCTAATTCAGCTACACATGCATCTGAAGATATTTAATAGAAGATAGGTGGTTCATGTAAGTGACCTAGATAGTCATAAAAGGCTCATTTAGGAAATAACGTCAGGAAAACTTAACTGCAGAAGGCACAATACTGTCTAGTTTGTGCTATTATTGAACAGCTCTGAAGCATTTCAACTATAGTGACTAGAGGAGGCAAACTGTAGAACCAGTTTTCTGAAAGGTGAAGAGAATGAACGCTGAGCCCTCTTGAAAAGGAAGGAGAGAGAGAGAAGTGACAGTTGCTTCCCCATGTCCTCTCGTTCTGCATCCATGAAATCAACTCACTACCGCATGAGGTTATTTGGAAACTAACTGTCTCTTCCATACACACACATACTTTTTGTCATTATTCTCTGAGGAATATAACAGTAAGTTGCATGGCATTTGCATGGCAGTAGGTATTACAATTAGTCTACAAAATGATATAAGTATTGAGGGAGATATGTATAAATTCTATGCAAATATTACATGTTTTTACATAAAGATTTGAGCATTCACAGATGCTTAAGGAAAGGGAGGTCCTAAAACAAGTCCCCCAAGGATACTGAGGCATATCCCTGTGAAATCCTTCTAAAGGGTATATTTAGGGTTGTGAGCCTAGCCTTTAACGGCTGAGTCATCTCTCCAGCCCAACTCCTGGGTATATTAGGCGGGGATTTGTGGGTTTTATTTTTCCCAAGGGAAAAAAATTGCACCAATGAGGAATATGAATCAGATATTCAAGAGATAAAGGTATCCTTTAAAAGAGTGTGAGTGACTGAAAGGGAGACTTTTAAACATATTTGCTACTAAATTATGGGGCTGGCAAGCCCAGAATCTGCAGAGCTGGCCAAAAGGTAGAAATGTGAATAAACAAGATAAAGTCTTGTAATGGTAACTGCTGTGGGGCCAGCAAGTCAGAACTTCCATGTTGCCTACAGAATCAGTTCCTCTTTAGAGAACTCTGGCTTACGCTCTGAAGGCCTTCGACAGATTAAGTGAAGCTCTCTCTCATTGCTGAGGATAATCTACTCAAAGTTTACAGATTTGAGTATTAATATCCTTCCCACTGACATCTAGACTACTGGTTTCATCTATAAACTGGGCACCACGGACTAGTCAAATTGACATATAAAGATTTTGACTTTGCCCAAAGCAATCCAGGGAACCGATATCTTTTATATCTTCAAAAATCAAGCTAATTGTAGATCCCTTTGGGATAGCAAGCAACTAAATCCACCTACAAAGTTTAACATGAAGAGAGTAAGAGCATCCCTTGCAGATGACAAAACACATATCTGAGATCATGGAGACCGTGGCCATGGCACTGAATCTTCTAATATGTACAAGTATTGAGAATCTGTTCTTTACATTCTTCACCGTAAGATCTCAGTGGCTGCAGACTAGAAACTGGCTCAGAAGACTCCTGAAACAAGATAATTACCTATGGATGGCACAGTCAGGTTAACATCAGCTAGCGTTCCTCCTGCTCCCCGCGAAGACCACATCCTGGGTCTTTCTGTACCAGTAATGGATGTAGGCAAGTGGCCTTGTGCAATGGAGGGAGGGGGGTGAATAAAATGAAGCAAACTGAACCTTTGCCTCAGCTGACTGTTTCAGCCATCTGGGTGACTTTAAGAATGACTGACGCCGGGGTTCCAGGCTGAGAAAACCTGATTTTCTTTGTCTGTGGATAGATGGACAAGCTCTGGAATTATAGCAGAGCCTGTGCAGGTCATCAAAGGTTTCTCTCTGGCAGCCTGACATTCGTACGTCATCGGATTATTGTTATTTTGTAACCTGAAGGTGAAATTCGGAGAACCTACAGAATTCAAATTAATGTGAGCAATCTGGCTTGGTACACAGTCCTACATTCCTAGCACTCTCTGGATGTATGTGGGTAGCGCAGCAGATGAAGAGGCATTACGAGTTTAAAGCCATCATCAGATATATTTTTTTTTCGTTCCAAGCCAGCCAGTGCTACAGAACAAACAAATGTCAAATATATATGAGAAAGCAAAATGTCCTCCCTTATAATTTATGATTTCCCTCCTACATCTTTTCTGACCTTTGACATTTCATTTATTAAAGCCAGTGCTTTCAGGATAACTAGCCCCCAAAATCAAGTCAGTTGAATCCTCACTTTCCTGTGGCCCTCCAGGAATTTAAAGATTAGTTGAATTGTTTGCTTACTAAGACAGAGGGCTGGAAATAGGAAAGGCGAGGGTGTCTTACGCTGATTATACTTTCATCATTTTAGCTAACCGTTTCTTGTAAATCTTCATTGACTCTTCATATGTTTCTTCTATATAACCACAAACAAATCTGGTGGCTCATAAGACCTTTGTCTTGGGGAATAAGCTTCAATTCAGTCTTCCTTCTGCAAGGCCTGATGAGCCTTCAGCCTCATCATCCAAAGCTTTCATGTGTAGGCTCATTTTTCTGTTGCGAGTAGGAAGGCCAAGTACCTTCTCCCTCCACGGGTGGCTTCATGTGTCTATGACACTAAATTTTTCATGTGGGCGCTGGGCCTGCGTTTTCTATTTTCATTTCAATAAAAGCTGTCTATACTTGGAAAACATCAGTGCGCTCTGCATAGGCATGAGCCATGCAGGCCCCATCGCAGCCTGGCAGCTCTCCTACTGCCTTCTGTAGTGGCTTAACACACTCTCATTAGATTATATGTCTGGCCACCCTGCATTGCTCACCCTGGTGTGGTCTTTCTCTTTAAAACAGAATGAAGAGAATCAGAAATATAG